GATGATGGCGACCTGGAGGGCAGCGTGGCGGCCGAAGATATCGGCAATCTGGCCCCAGAATGGAATGAAGCAGGCCGAGGTGAGGTTAAACGCTGAGATGATCCAATTCATTTGCGAGATGCGGTCTGAAGTAGAGAGTTAGAACTCAAACCTGTCTACAGTGGTGGAGTGAGGCAAAAAAAGGGGTTCTCACTAAAATCCGAGGCTATCCAGGGTAGCGCACTAGCTATAATTGTTGTGTCCAACGCTTGTAGAATGAAGGGGAACATGAGGCCAAAAATAACTCTGATTCTGTACCGTCTCGCTGCCAATTGATCGGCTCTGCATAGTGGACACTTGCCTGTCGGGATGTCGGTATCTGGTGATGGCTTTTTTGCTTCAGCATTCTCGCCGTGTTGTTCATTATTGGAGGAAAGAGGCCTGATATGTGCAAGTTCGACGCCTTGTACTGCCTTATCTGGTGCTGATGGAAGGTCCTGTGGATCGGAAATCCAGAGCCTCTGCTGCCGGTGGTGACATAGCTTGGGAATAGCATGTTTTTCTGAATTCTTGTGCCATGGTAGCTTCTTCCTTAGAAGCTTTGCCGTGGATATCATGCTCAAGGGAAGATATTAAGGAAGGAAAAGGAGATAACTTAAGTGAGAGAAGTATGTATACTAGTCCACGAAGGAAGGAGAAGGAGAGCAGAAAGTAGATAAGAGAGTCCGTGTGAGTGGTCTGTTTCGTGACCGAGAATAGGGACACTGCAGATACATACTTGACCGTTAAATAGGCAAGAAGGAAGAAGTAGAAGGAGAGGAAAACGTAGGAGAGAATCCAGGATATACAGCCCCTGGCTTCGACGTACGTTCCATCAAGCTTGAAGGAGACGAGGCTCAGGCTAGAAGGATCTGTGTCAGCAGCTGAGGGTCGAGGGCCAAAGTCGTGCCGAATGATGTTGTGTAAAGCGAAGGGAAAGAGATGCAGCCATTGGATGGTGAGGATGGCTGGGAGGGAAGTAGGAGGAGAAGCCATCTCTTGGCCTGAGAGCGCGTCGCATTCCAGCCACTGAGCAGGCGGCACTTGTTGCAGCACCTTGGGGTCAAGCAGCACACAAGCTCGAACGGGGTGATGGACTAGTCCACAAGAGGACGCATCCGGCGATGGCACTCGTCCCTCGTCGCACTGGTGTACCCGGTCAGGTTAGTCTCTCCCAAACCTAATTGGGACCTCAAGCCAAGAGTTTCGGCGGCTGTGCACATCAAAATATGGTTTGGTGATAATACTGGAGTATCAACGGATGAGAAACAAGACGGAGAAATAGAAGTAGTATGACTGATGCCGATGATGGCCTCTGCCTCCGCAAGATTCTCTGATGAACACGCACTTACGTGGACTGAGGACGTATGCGCAGCTTCAACCCTGCCCAAGCCCAAGCACTGAGGGGTACCGTACCCGTGTGTCTGTTTTTTATTGACAAGCAAACCAGAGCAAGGAAGGAGGAGCTAACTCATCTCTACTTCTTAATAAGAATAGTATATGTGGTGTCCGGCTATACCAAACCAAATACACAGGGCATGATATCTTCTTTTGACGGTTCAGCGCCCCGTGCATCATATTGGGTCTATGATGTATCTTCATGTCTTAGTGCGGTTGGATTAGAGTTTTCCATCAGATAGCTCTTACTTGACCAAGCAAAACTTTACATGAGAACTTGTACGACTGATTAGATTTGCAGCATATCGGAGAAGGATTGTTGTTAGTGTTGACCAAAGCTCATTGCGCAGCACAAAGTGCTGACAACAGATGGCGGTGCGATTAAGAGCACGCGAGTGTCCTGCAACCAGCGCTTGGTTGGATGCTTTAGGCGAGTTTGCGTGGGACTGGCCCCCCCGGAGCTCCCTAAACAGACCCTGCACGCGGTGCGGCACAGCGCCTTTTCCAGGGTCCCGAGGGGCCGCGATGCTCGGCTTGGCACCCACAGGCAACTACATGTGGACATCAACCAACATCTGGCTTCATTCCCATTCTCTTCCTACAAATTATGAATCTAGATCCTACGGCATCTTGGTAACATATCACACTATCTTTGAATGAGGACGGTGTTTCCTTCGTACCATACCACTACCGTCAAGGTGGCTAGCCAAGCAGCAAGCACGGCATAAAACAGCCCTCAGCACTCCACAGCCACAATCATGGCGCCAATAAGCTCCGATCCAAAGGATCTCCTCCTCATCCTCAATCCAGCCCGAAGACTTGCCTTAGTTCAAGTCGTTGGACAAATAACATCGCATATGCGTCGTGAGCTCGACGCTTCTTTCCATTCCTCATCTCGCTCCCTCTACGAGATACCGCCTCCAAAACCGCCCAGGCCCCAGGAATCGCAGCGGGGCAACGCACCACTGTTCGTGAACAAATATGATGCGTATGATGCACCACCCAGAGAAGATGCTGATGACAGTCGACAACGTCCAGGAAAGCTGGAGAGGACTGTCTCCAGCCCTAGGCTGCAGGACTTGAGAGGTGCCGCATTGAAATACTTCGATGGATGGGAGAAATCAGTTCAGGGCAAACTAAGAGATCTCATGAACACACCCCAGGACCCACGTCAGAAACGCCCACCACCGCAGCAACAGACACAGCCCACTTCGGACCCAGCAGCTGAGATAGAAGAGGCAAATGAGATCGCACATCTCCAATCTCTATACGGTCCAATTCAGACCCGGCTGGCAACGGTATCAAAGCAAGACCGGAAAAGCATCATTAGCTCGATGCTACTGCTCCTGCTTTCTCTGCAACATTACTCCGCTCATTCTCGAGTTCTGCTCTGCTACCTTACGTCTTCTCTCCAGCTTCCTCTTTCCGTCCTTATCACCGAGGAGACAGAAACAGCACAAACTCTTCTCCAGGCATCCAAATCCCAGTCTGTTTCTGCTTCGACTGACAATGCTGTTGCTGCGCGAGCAAACAGTGATGCCAACTCCCGCAAGTGGAAAGTCGGCCTTGCATCCGTGGCAGGTGCTGCCCTGATTGGCGTTACTGGAGGCCTGGCTGCACCCGTTGTGGCTGCTGGGATCGGGACGTTAATGGGTGGCGTAGGGCTGGGTGGACTAGCGGGTTTCTTGGGAATCTTTGCCATGAACGGAGCTCTTATGGGGACCCTCTTCGGAGTTATGGGTGGGAAGATGATGGGCGAGAGGATGGAGAGGTACACAAAGAGTGTACAGGATTTTAAGTTTGTACCAATTATGGATGAAGAAGGTTGGAACAGCGATAGCGAGGATACCAAAAATAAGAGATTGAGAGTTACTATTGGGGTTAATGGCTGGTTAAGGTCCGAGGCAGATATCATCAAGCCATGGGCAATCCTCGGAGACGATACCGAAGTGTTTGCCTTGCGCTACGAGCTCGATTCACTGACCAAACTTGGCAACTCCCTCGAAGACCTTGCCACCAAATACGCCTGGTCATACGTTAAATTCCAAGTTCTCAAGACTACTGTCCTAGCGACTGTGTCTGCAGCACTGTGGCCGGTTACTCTGCTATCCATGGCTGGGGCGCTGGATACCCCTTTTGCACTTGCTAAGAACCGCTCGGAGAAGGCCGGAGCGGTTCTAGCAGATGCGTTAATCCACAGAGTTCAAGGTGAACGGCCTGTAACTCTCATAGGATATTCTCTGGGATCACGAGTGATATATGCCTGTCTGAGAGAACTCGCCGAGAGGAAGGCGTTTGGACTTGTGGAGTCTGTTGTGATGATTGGATCTCCTGTCCCATCTGACACAAATACTTGGCGAGTCATGAAGAGTGTGGTGTCCGGGAAGATGATCAACGTTTTCTCAGAGAATGATTACATTCTAGGTTTCATGTACCGCGCTACCAGCATCCAGCTAGGCGTTGCGGGGTTGCAGATAGTTGAGGATGTGGCAGGAGTAAAGAATCTAGACCTGACGGAAGAAGTTGCTGGGCACTTGAGATATCCAGGTTTGATTGGAAAGATCTTACGAAGAGTGGGATTCCCAAATGTCTTAGTTGGCGATGACGGGGCTATTGAGAAAGAGGTTGAAGAGCCACCGCTTTTCGAACTTGATGCAGGTACAAACTTAGATGCAGCGACTACTACTACTAAAAGTAATCAAGGGAACGCTGCACTCCTTGCTGATCTTGACAAGAGAATGGGCTCTCCAGAAGTTAAAAGGGAGTACATAGATGTCGAGGGGCCTCCTGTCAGACGGATCCCTGGTTATGGTGACGACGGTCTAGATAAGCCGGAAATTCATAGAGACTACATTGAAGGAGAGTCTCCGACAATTGAGCTTATAGATAAAGACCGCGAGGATGAGCATGCACCCGTCACCAAGTCTATGGATCAACTACACATCTCATCCAGAGGTTATGATAGCGATGAGAGTGATGGCGGGATTAAAATGGTTGATAACGATAATGACGATGATGGCTTTCCTGACGAAGAGATTCCTGAGAACCGAAATCCCACAGGAGTCAGTGCCAGCCAACCATCGAGAGAAAATAGTGCTCTGAAGGATGGGGGGATGGTAGTGGTAGACGAACAGAAGGTTCTGGGTTCTCTTCCTGAAGTGAAGAGGAAGAAGACGGCTTCAGAGATGGGGCTGTATTAATTCTAGTGAAGTCAGGAGTTGAATGTTGGATTTAATTCAGCAATATACAAAGGGGAACATGAATTTAATAGAAGGACTTCCGTTTTGTTAGAAAGACCAAAAGGAGTTTTGACTTGTAGATTATACACCTAAATACTACCTTCATGTCGCATACCTGTGATATATTTACTCCTTCCCAACCAAACGAAATTGTCAGAAACATATGCCTCACCCTAATATATTTCCTCTTTAAAACCAATTCTACATCAAAAATTAGTGCAGAAAGAAAGGAGTCAAATGGGCTTCAATTGAATGATATGTATCGAGTTATCTGCCAAGCCTAATAGAATCGTTTCAGTAGAGTTAATAGAAATTAATAAGCAACCTCGGTACCAACAAAGCACAGCTCCTTTAGTTCAGTGGTAGAACGTGAGATTGCAGCGAAACCAAGTCTACTATCTTAAGGTCACTCGTTCGAACCGGGTAGGGAGCTTTCATTTTTTGCAGATCTTAGTTTTTGTCTCTTATGAAAAATTACTTGTGTTTTTTTAATTTTCCTGATTGTTTTGGTTACCTTTTTGCATCTTTCCAATATGTTGAATTCTTTTATGCAACTTTTGCTGTCTCGGTGGCATTACCCCGAAAAGGCCGAGTTTGGGATCTATGGGTTCTAATATGGTATTTTTGGTCTCTTCCCCGATGAAGGGGAGTAATGATATCAAGCTACAGTACGGTACCAGCTATTGCGGGTGCTAATAGGTAGCAACTTTGCGGCCAAAAGCATGAAGAATTGTTGCGCCCGGGTAAATCGCGGGAGGAGGGAACTGTTTTGGGAATTCCGCTGCGGATGAAAAGGGAAAGTGGGGGAGGGGTTTGCGAGAAGGCTGAGGTAGGGAGGCGGAGGCGGAGGCGGGGATAAATTGCCCTGTGATATAAACAGCTTGTTCTTGGTAGTTCCGCCAGAAAAGTATTAACAGCTGATCATCTCTCTTTCTACTTCCTATATATTCGTCCTCAATAGACAAGAAACAGGTCAATTGGGAACTAAACATCATATTCGAACCCCGTCTGCTACTCCTACCACAGCTCATCACGATGTCGACTCCGTATACCTTACGGTGGGGTATTCTGGCCACAGGCTGGATAGCACAAAGTAAGTCCTCTTTTCTCTCTCCCGGAAGCATTGGAATACCAATCAATGGAGTACACTCCAATGCCAATCCTTTCATCTCTCTTCCTTAACACCAGCTAACACACCAATCTCCAAAACAACAGCTTTCACCAGAGACCTCCTCACCAACCCTGCCATCCGCAATGTCAGCGATGTGAAGCACGCCGTCGTGGCAGCGGCCTCCTCCTCCTCCGCTTCCCGTGCCGAGTCCTTCCTCAAAGAAATCGATGCCCCCGCTGATGCCAAAGCCTATGGTTCCTACGCCGAGCTCGTCGCCGACCCTAACGTTGACATCATCTACGTCGCAACTCCCCACTCCCACCACTTCCAGAACACCATGCTCGCCCTCCAGGCCGGCAAGCACGTGCTCTGCGAGAAGGCCTTCACTGTCAATGCCGCGCAGGCCAAGAAGCTCGTCGAGACGGCCCGCGCCAAGAAGCTGTTCCTCATGGAGGCCGTGTGGACTCGTTACTTCCCCCTGAGCATCAAGATTCGGGAGATGGTGACCAATGGCACGATTGGCACTGTCCACCGCGTGTTCGCAGATCTATCCATTGCGAATAGCAACGATGATGGCAGTCTCAACTTTGCGGATTCTCACCGCATGGTGAACATGTATCTTGCCGGTGGAGCGTTGCTCGATCTGGGGATCTACTCCCTGACGTGGGTCTTCCAGACGCTGTACCACACGCAGCCCAAGCCGCGCGAGGCCCCCAAAGTTGTGTCTGCACTACGCCAGTACGCTAAGACCGGTGCCGATGAGACGACGACTATGGTGCTGGATTTCCCCAAGCGCAATGCTGTTGGTATCGCCACGACTAGTATGAGAGTGGCTACTCGACCCAACAATAGTGATGTCGCTGGGCCATCGATCCGTATTCAGGGCAGTAAAGGCGAGATTCAAGTCTTTGGCCCCGCATACCGACCCGAGAGCTACAAGATTATCCACCTGGATGGGAAGACGGAGAGTGTCGAGTGTCCCTTCCCTAAGGACAAGGAGAGGAAGGGGCCCAAGGGCCAGGAAAATGAGGGTGTTGGCCACGGTATGTACTGGGAGGCTGATGAGGCTGCGCGGTGCATCAGGGATGGGAAATTAGAGAGCGACACACTTGATTGGGAGGAGAGCGTCTTGATTATGGAAGTCATGGACCAGGTACGGAAGCAGAACGGATTGGTGTATCCTGAGCTTATCGAGACCGACGTGTTTGATGCTGCGAGTCCATTGAACGGGAAATAGGGGGTTGATCGACCATATTCTTCAATTCGTCTGACTTTTGTTATATCTGATACCTTACTTTAATACATAGAACTGGGCCCAGACGAATTATGTGTTTTATATAACCTCTTTATTTTTGTTTTCATTCCTCTCCTAACCTATGTGTACTTGAGAAGAGAAAAAAGGGTCCCAAATAGCCCCACTGTTCAGATGTTGCGAGCCTTCACTCTATCACTGGTATCATCAGCCATAACTTTTCTAAAAACCTCCCATAAAAACGCCGGCTTTGATGCATGGCGATCGAATAATAAAAAGCAAACAAGCCGCACCTCTCAAATGCCCATTGAATGATACAGCACTAATCGTAGTGAAAGAAGGACTCCGCCAAAAATGTATATACCTCTGCGCCGACCAAATGCTATATGAAGAAAACAGTAAACGAGCTACTATCATGACCTCAAACGCTAATGCGAAAAATGATATCAGCAATACGATGTTGCCGACTTGATTGATAGTATAGGTGATGACAGCTAAAATCCGTAATGGCGTAGCCAAACACTAAATCTTAGCGGGGTGCACTGACGATATCACTCCTTGCGCTGAAAATACAGCATATAAGGAGTAAATGAATTTCTTCCATTTCCGCCGACGGCTGCGGCAATATCTGTCGAGGACACTGAACTATCATTGAAGCAGCGCCATTTCCCATCCGGCCCCTTCGCACTACAGATATAATGGCCGAAACCTGTGGATCCTGAATGTTGAATGACAGCTGTGAGTTCGTACCGTAACGGAGACTTATTCTCCGTATCGCGGTAGCGGTTGAGGTCCAGACCAACGCTGATGCTTACTGGAGAGCTATCCTTTGACCCGTCCCAGTTGAAGCGCTTGAGCTGGACGAGGAGAATGTCCGGAGCATGTTGAATATTTTGCGTTCGCGACTTTTTGCCTTTGTCTTGGCAGCCTTCGCAACGGTAGTCTTCCACAACTTCGTCCATATATCTTTGCAAATAGGCTGTTAAAGAGCCGGGTTTCGGTCGGATTGCGGGTTGGATTGGGACAGAGAGACCGCCTTCGGTGTGAGCTTCAGTTTTCGACTCCTTACCACATCTATTGCACTTTACAACAGAATTGGTGACAAGAAGATGTGAGGCTTCAAGGTAAGCAAAGAACCTTGAGAGACTTCCTGTCAGCGAGTTTGAAAAGGAAAGATGCAGGCTCAGGCCAATCTTACTCGGAAGGTACTTCTTCCCTGATTTGCTTTAGGATCCAAGATACCTGCTCTTCAGGATCTCCTTGGCCGCCACTTCCGGCGTCGGGTTTCCAGCCCCGTTGGCGGAATATCTTGTCAATGTCCGCAAGAACTTGACTGAGTTGTGACTTTGGGTGGCCTGGCTGACACCAGTAAACTTTCGATAGTACGCGGAGTTGACATGACACGCAATGTTCTCGGCTTTCAGACACACCTGATCTAAGTGAGTGAGGGGATACGCAGATAGCATTCAGAACAAAACTTACACTGTTCTGGGCGATGGTACTCATCTAGCCAGTTTACGAACTTTGGCTGGTGCAAGAGAGCCTGGAAAAGACTGTGCCGATAACACAAAACTCCAGTGAGGTTTGCCAGTCCTCTCTGAGCGGAGGCAGATCTCTGAGACCAATCGCCTCGAACTTTAGCCGCCTGTATTTTCTTCTTACGGAGCTGGTCTGCATACTTTGCAACCTTCTCCCGTCGGCGATATGTCTCTTCGTCACTTTCTGAGGCTTTCTTTGCTTTCTTTGAAGGAAAGAGCTCATAGACAAAACCTATTTCCTTTAGATACTCCTCCTTTGAATTATCTATAAGATAGGTAAGTCATCGAGCTTTTAGAGAACATCAGCGAGTTTCATACCTTCTTCTTTGACAGAAGAAAAGCTTCGTTTCTTCGTGGGCTTGAGGCCGTGTTTGCGGGGACTCAAATAGACTGCAGAACCTGCCCTTGGCAGGAAAACCTTGGTTGTCGGTGCCATTATAAAAAGTCTTTCGATGTTTTATGCCACAAAATCTTGTTGGATCTCTTCAAAACACAGAATTCCTGTGACTTGAAATTATAACTCCAGTGTGAGACCTAAGTATGAAAAGGCCAGGAGCGTATGTGGTTGGGCCGACTGTAATGCAAAGCTGAGACAAAAATATGTTGACAATACTAAGAAGTGCCGAATAAAGCGCTAATAAGACAATTCATAAAACCATTCAAGGAGAGACCTCAGAAGAGTCACCGAAGAGATAGAAGGTGATTAATTGTCTCACAATTCTCAATGAGAACAATATCTTTGTCCAAACTTTAACCCAGTAAACTTCTACCTCTTCGATGCGATCGAGGTATGAAATTTCACAATGGTTGTGCGCATGGAAATCGGTCTTGTCGTCAGATTATTTGAGGATGTTTAAGGTGAGGACGTAGCAGTCCAATCTGCAATTTCAGCAAAGCTCAACCTCTTTCACCACAAAGCTTCAATTAAGTCCCGAAAGCTTCTCAGATCTGCGATCCATCCACACAAGATGAGCTACCACCCTGCAGTAAATGAATAGCACGGGGAAGTATGGCCTTTCAACCACTACTGTCCCCGAACTTCCGCGGTACTCTCACCGCAGGTCGAACGTAAATGCTCGCGAGCGCAAATACAATAAGCTGTATGCAGCAGGAAGGAAGGATGAGAATCAGGATATATCAAACAAGAGGAAAACCAGCTCCGGCTGGAGCTCATGCAATGATACGGAATGGCGGGCTGGAGGCGGCAACATCGAGAAGTGGTCTATCCAAGGAAGGCTCTATCGCGCAGAATTCTGGTTGGCCAAGAACAAGTCCACTGGATTTGATGAAACTGTTTAGATATCGCTGAAGAATCCAAGGGCAATTTGCGAATCGGCATTCACTCCTAGCAAAGACTCGCAGTCATTATCTGAAAGACAGAAAACAAAGTATGTAAGACGCGTTGTCCGTACGTACACTTTGGGGACAGGGAAAACATAAGCGCGGATGGGATCGCAGAGCTTAAAATTTTCTGCTGCTGGGTTGTTCTGTAGCGCCCCACTACCGCGGCTGTTCATAGGCTGCTTAACGCC